TCTTCTTGGTTCTTTCGGTAAAGTCACGTAGAAAGGAAGTAATAAAATAATAAAAATAAAACATAATAAAATAAAATATTTTAATAATAAAAATAAAACATAATAAAATAAAATATTATTTTATTATGTTTTATTTTTATTATTTAAAATAAAACAATAAAATAAAATATTATTTTATTATGTTTTATTTTTATTATTTTATTACTTCCCTTCTACGTGACTTTACCGAAAGAACCAAGAAGATAAAAATAAAAAATCCATAAAGAAAGTACTCCACTCTGTCCTATCGTATCCCCCATCAACTCATCTACCTACACACTGGCCCAATTTTCTGTCTAAGACCCTGCTTCCATTCACGGGCAAGACCACCTCAGCAGTACTTAACTCAGCTCACTTGGTTTCTCTAATCAAGGACATTTCACTGTCCCCAGATGAGTTACTTGTCAGTCTCGATGTAGCCTCTCTGTTCACCAAGGTACCTGTACCTGACACCATAGCAATCATTGAAGACTTGGTCCAACATGGACTGAATCCTGATGTACCGACTTTGGTGAGTCAGTGCCTTACCGACACTTACTTCACCTGGAATGGTACATTCTACAAACTAAATGAAGGTACCCCTATGGGTTCTCCCTTATCACCAGTGGTAGCGAATATTTTCATAGAGAAATTTGAAACAGATGTCATCCTGACCTCCACCATACGTCCTTCCCTGTGGAAGAGATACGGAGATGACACGTTCGTCATCTGTCCATAGGGCCAGTCGGCACTGAATAAATGTTTTAACCACATTAATTCCATCCATCCATCCATCAAATTCACTATGGAAGTGGAAAATCATGGCAAGCTACCATTTTTGGATGTTTTGATCGAGAAGAGGCCTGATGGCTCGTTGGGACATTCTGGCTACAGGAAAGCCACTCACACGGATTCCTATCTAAAGCCTGATTCCCACCATCATCCGGCCCAGAAGAATCCCCTCCTCAAAACACTACACCATCTCCGACCAGCGCCACCTAGTCAGTTAACTGGAGCACGTACACCAAGCCCTCAAGATGAATGGATACTCAGACCGCACAATCCGCAAAGCTGTATCCCCAACCATGGGGAGACAACCATCATAAGACCCAATCAAAACCATCACCTTGCCATACATAGCAGGTGTTTCCAAATAGATTTCCAAATCTTAAAGAAACACAACATCCACGTCCAATTCAATACAGTACACAACATCCGTGATTTGATCCCATCTGTAAAGGATGTAATTCCTTACATGCAATATCCTGGTCTCTACAAACTAAGTTGCGTCTGCGCCAGCAGTTACATTGGGGTAATGAAACGACATGTCTCGGACCGTGTTCGCGAATACAAAGCAAATTTGAAACACAGCAAAACCAATACCTCTGCCGTGGCTGATCACTGTTATAACGTGGTGGGCTCGCACAATATTGTTTTTTTCCGAGACCAAGGTACTCTGCAAAACCTTCGGGCTACCATCAAAGATTTGTCCATAAAGCCATCCAGATTTACAGGGTGTTTTAAAATGATGGACCCAATTTCAAAGCATTATATTTCACGATGGCAACATGTTACAATTACAAAGTTACCAACGTTTTAATGAGTCATCAAGTTTTACGAACCATTTTATAAATGCTCTTTGTGCCCTCCACCTGCTGTACGGACAACATCGAGACAATAGTTGAATTCGTCTCAAACGCCTCTCAAAGTGTCTTCTTCCATTGAAGTCACGTCTGCCGTGATTCTGTTTTTGAGGTCATTCAGATTGGTCGCTAATGGTGGCACGAAAACAAGTTTTTTGTGCCACCATGCTCTTTGATAGTGGTGGATCAATGACAAAACGCCGTTGAAACGCACCCTGCACCACAATTACGGATTCAGTCTTGCTGAACTGCAGAACGCAAAACGCCTTGTGTTGCGGAGTCGCCATCGTGCAAATGACTGAGGCTAGGGGCTGTTTGTGCACTGGTACAGGCATTCTAGCGGTAATCATTTGAAACTCTATGCCCTGCCCTTTCGTGGGCGGGTTGTGGTTGCAGAGATATAGCGATTTCAAATTAGATCCATTCTTTTGAAACACCACGTATAAACACAGAAACAATTTCAACCGAGAATATTGGTATAAGCTGAGCAATCATTGGAATGACGACATTTACCAGGTAAAGTCATAACTCGATGTGATGCTTCCATCCTTCCCGCCTTTTGGCTGTTATCTCCGACTCTCTGAGTTGCATTGCCCTGTGGGATGCCTTTGCATTAAAGGGCTGGCGTCTCACTAACATGACCACCTCTGCTCCCTTAGCCTCGAAGTATCGATGGTTCTTACTGTTCTATGGGCTATGTGTCTCACTAGCATGGCCACTATTGCTGTGGTTCTCTTGCGTTGACACGCTTGCCTCTCACAGCGCAGTTCTGACCACAGCAAGTGCCACACAAAGACTTGACATTAACTTGCTAATCTCTCCAATCTCTCTCCCTAATCTCTCCCATTAACATAGTGCTAATTTCCAATTAATACTACTGCTGTGCGCATGTGCGGCAACAGTGCTCTCATGCAGTGATGGAAGCTCATTTACTTTAATATGCTAATCTCTCGCCCTAATCTCCCGCATTAACCCAACTGATGTGCTGGCGTGCGGGGATGGGGCTCTCTTCCAGCTCGGACCCCGCTTGCTTGCCTTTGGGCTACACCCCTCTCAAACATATATAACCCCTTATTGTAGCAGCTCTCTTGCTGTGTTCTTCCAAGTTCAGCAGTTCTACTGCTGGGTTCTGTTCGACTGATGACGATCGCTTGTGTTGCAATCGAAACGTCGTGATATATTATTTTTATTAAACATTTATACCTACGTGACATTACCGAAAGAACCAAAGAGTATGGGAGGTTTTGCTTGAGGATGTATGCATGTTGAACTTCTTTGCAGATGCACAACCTGTGACCCCCCCCCCCCCCCCACTGCCAACTTGCTGTTATTTAACCATCTGGTGCTTCACTCATTGTGAGTATTGCTCCTCTGCCTTCCGTTGTTTTTGGAGAGCGACTGTCTACAATTCCCCAGGAGTATTCTTTATGAGATTCTTCCACAGAGGCCGATTTTGACAACCCTCCACTCCCTGCACAACTGCCCCTTCACTCATGGAGAGAGTTCAGGGGTAGAGTACAGTCTGTTCTCCTATAACGTGTGCTGTTTTCATAACGCGAATTGTAAATAACTTGGATATAAATTGGATATGCAGTGAGGGAAAAAACTATTTGATCCCCTGCTGATTTTGTACGTTTGCCCACTGACAAAGAAATGATCAGTCTATAATTTTAATGGTAGGTTTATTTGAACAGTGAGAGACAGAATAACAACAAAAAAGTAAAAAAAACGCATGTCAAAATGTTATGAATTGATTTGCATTTTAATGAGGGAAATAAGTATTTGACCCCCTCTCAATCAGAAAGATTTCTGGCTCCCAGGTGTCTTTTATACAGGTAACGAGCTGAGATTAGGAGCACACTCTTAAAGGGAGTGCTCCTAATCTCAGCTTGTTACCTGTATAAAAGACACCTGTAAATAAAAACAATCAATCAATTAGATTCCAAACTCTCCACCATGGCCAAGACGAAAGAGCTCTCCAAGGATGTCAGGGACAAGATTGTAGACCTACACAAGGCTGGAATGGGCTACAAGACCATCGCCAAGCAGCTTGGTGAGAAGGTGACAACAGTTAGTGCGAAATGGAAGAAACACAAAAGAACTGTCAATCTCCCTCGGCCTGGGGCTCCATGCAAGATCTCACCTCGTGGAGTTGCAATGATCATGAGAACGGTGAGGAATCAGCCCAGAACTACACGGGAGGATCTTGTCAATGATCTCAAGGCAGCTGGGACCATAGTCACCAAGAAAACAGTTGGTACCACACTACGCCGTGAAAGATTGAAATCCTGCAGCGCCCGCAAGGTCCACATGCTCAAGAAAGCACATATACATGCCCGTCTGAAATTTGCCAATGAACATCTGAATGATTCAGAGGACAACTGAGTGAAAGTGTTTTTTTCTCAGATGAGACCAAAATGGAGCTCTTTGGCATCAACTCAACTCGCCGTATTTGGAGAAGGAGGAATGCTGCCTATGACCCCAAGAACACCATCCCCACCGTCAAACATGGAGGTGGAAACATTATGCTTTGGGGGTGTTTTTCTGCTAAGGGGACAGGACAACTTCACCGCATCAGAGGGACGATGGACGGGGCCATGTACCATCAAATGTTGGGTGAGAACCTCCTTCCCTCAGCCAGGGCATTGAAAATGGGTCGTGGATGGGTATTCCAGCATGACAATGACCCAAAACACACGGCCAAGGCAACAAAGGAGTGGCTCAAGAAGAAGCACATTAAGGTCCTGGAGTGGCCTAGCCAGTCTCCAGACCTTAATCCCATGGAAAATCTGTGGAGGGAGCTGAAAGTTCGAGTTGCCAAACGTCAGCCTCGAAACCTTAATGACTTGGAGAAGATCTGCAAAGAGGAGTGGGACAAAATCCCTCCTGAGATGTGTGCAAACCTGGTGGCCAACTACAAGAAACGTCTGACCTCTGTGATTGCCAACAAGGGTTTTGCCACCAAGTACTAAGTCATGGTTTGCAGAGGGGTCAAATACTTATTTCCCTCATTAAAATGCAAATAAATTCATAACATTTTTGACATGCGTTTTTCTGGATTTTTTTGTTGTTATTCTGTCTCTCACTATTCAAATAAACATACCATTGAAATTATAGACTGATCATTTCTTTGTCAGTGGGCAAACGTACAAAATCAGCAGGGGATCAAATACTTGTTTCCCTCACTGTAACTCGATCAAGTGGCGAGGTATAGTAAAACCCTCAAGTCCTGTACAGCGTGCAAAGGATTTCATGCAGCAGAGGGTTGACAAAGGGATGCACGTTATACGAACGTTGTACATTAAAGACACGTGTACATTGATTACATTTTACTTGAAGGATTGCAGGTCAGCGAGACGAGTGACTCAAGCATTACAATCACATGGACGAACATCAGCTACGTTGACAACTACACCTTCGAATTGTACGACAACTTTCAAAACGCATCCTCAAACTTCAGCACAGATGGGAGTGCCTACAACTTCACATTCACGGAGCTGGTTGCGGGCAGGTCGTACACAATCCACGTCACACTTGGGTGCGTCGGCTTCAGCAACTATTATGGCGAAGTGAACGCCTTTACAAGTGAGTGAACTGCGGCTTGATGGAAACACGATTCAGAGTTTGTAATTATTTTTGTTATTACCCCCATCCCGCCCCCCCCCAATTTTGAGTACGTTGCACTGATAATTACAACCAGAATGCAATTTGTACTCGAATTGTAAATGTTGTAGGTTTATTCTCCACCACACAACCGGTATGCTGAACAAAGTAAGTTATTGGCATATTTTATTTACGTCACAAACCCTTACTAATTTGCTGACGGATAGTGGTGGGTAAACGACACATTTATTTTTTGCGCGATCTAACCCAAAAAACGGTGTTATGAGTAACAATAGTCCCACAAAACTACTATTACTTCGTGTTAGAAGTGCTTTATTCACTACATTCACTAAAAACATTGTAAAAAAAAAACAATCAATTATTGAACAGAATTGTGACCATTTATAACATTGCATGGTAGGCGAATAGTTACATGTAGGTCTCCATTTGTGTGTGTGTGTGTTTAAATTAGATATGTCAATTCGGCTGGCTGGGAATGCCACCGCATGTCAGGGCCGGGTGGAGGTGTTCTACAATGGCGAGTGGGGCACGGTGTGTGACTACTACTGGAGCCCACAGAATGCCAAGGTCGTGTGTCGTCAGCTGGGTTGTGGGCTCACTGCCTTTGCCGTGTCATATGCTTACTTTGGATTGGGCAGTGGCCCTAACTGGCTTGACCCTTTTCAGTGCTCTGGTTACGAGACTCAGCTTTCCAACTGTTGGATTTTTTTCTGGGCGAGTGATTACTGCAGCCACGATGAAGATGCCTCAGTCATCTGCTTGCAAGGTTACTTAAACGAGTGTGTGTTGGTCAATATGTCTCTGTGCCCGGTTGTCTTGTTATTGCATACCCAATAAAATTTTGTTCATTGCTAGCAATAAATGTATTATTTATCCACTTAAGATCAATAACATGTGTTTCATGTATTATTTCAAAAGTTTATCCTCAAACTGATATTTGAAGGTTTTACATTGGATTCAACAACAAATTTCCATTTAATAATCAACTTCATTGAGCTTCTGAAAAAGATCTACAGTACATAGCTCAGTGGGTCTTACCTGCTAAAAATAATAAATGTTAAAATAATTAAGTATTAATAGAATAGATGAAACGAACTTCAATAGGCAGAAAATGTATGCAGGCCAGAATAAAATAATAACTTACAAGCGAAATGCGTCTAACAGCAACACGTAACTGGAATCTCAGCATCATATGCGTGTTCCGATGACATTCCCAATGATATTTGTGAAATGTTAATTCTTCTTCCTAAAAAATACAATATAAACATCAAATATTCCTTAAATACAATATTCTCAAGTTTTTTTTTTATTTACAGGTGAATAGTATATCCATTAAACAATTAATATTTAACTCCAGGTACTCATAAGAATTGTTAATTTAATATTACAAATGAAACAATTTAATGACACATTCCTTTCAAAATTATTAGATTGACATACTTTCATAAAGGGTGGTCACTACATCCACATTTAGAAATGTTTTCAATTCGTCTGTCTATTAATAATTTGAACATTTTCTCCCAAAGTAAGTGAAATACTATCTTGATAAATGTTACCCATGCTTGATGCAGTGCCAAGTTTCAACGTTTTAACCATCACCAACAAGACTACCACGACCATGACAGTCTCAGGGACGAATTATCTCCCGGACTCGTTCTCCTTCTGGGTCTACTTGCGAGAGACTGCGAGTGGAAAGTTTGTTACAACATTGCCGATTAACTCAACCACGGGAACATTTACTGGCCTGGTTCCTGGAAGGAACTACTCCGTGTCTGTGGAGGCTTCCAATACAACCTTTTCATATGAGTCAGATGTGGTCACGGACAGAACTTGTAAGTACCAATATGGTCAATTGTTCGTACTATATTAAAATAGACAGAAATGTGTGTATGCTACTATATTTCACTATATATAAAAACGCATTTGTATCTTACATATTGTATTATTTAATTTGGTATTGGAACGTTTTACCAGCATGTGATGCTGCCATTGTCCTGCATGTAAAATAGACACATGCACGATTCACATGTTTATCATGGTTGGCTACGTACTGTGCCAACGAAGTTCTACATACATACACACATGCAATAGTGATGGGCTCGAGACTCGTCACCCGACCTCCGTTACTCGGATACAACAAACCTCCTTATCAATGTCTGCGGTATAAAGCCCAGCCCATCAATTGAAACAGCGCTGTGGGGCCTGAAACTATACGGCGATTTTAAGTTTTAGTCCGTATTACTGTAAATCCTTGACATTATGGCTGGGTAGGCCACTGGCAAACTGCAGGGCTCATGGGCCTTCTTCATGAAAACTCTGGCACAGTTATCTTTTAGCCCTCGTGTGATCAGAACACAAGCACGAGGATAAGGAGTGAGTTCGGAGTCGGGCGGATCCCACTCACGTGAAGCTTGTTGTGGGGTGTGCATGCAGGGAGGTTGGTATTGCCCTCCTACCCCCCTCTGGGGATTCAGTCACCGCCCTGCGGGACTTTTGTTATGACAACTCCACTTGGTATGTGGAGGCTCCCCCAACTTTTATCCCGGATCCTTGTTCTCCCCTTAACCATATAATAATAACCGACGCTACCTCTCGTAGTCCGCATGTGTGTGGGCTAGTGAAACCTATCTACTCCCCATCTATTGACCCAGGGGTATTGAGGGTCTCAGTCCACGTAATTTTTGTACCTCCCCCCCCTTGTTATGGTCCGTGCCTTATACTGGACTCTTGTTTTGTTGCAAATAAAACATTTTTCTCATCAATACATAGTTAGACTAAAAAAAGAGGGCATATACAAAATATGTGGTGATTGTGGTAACTTATGTGTTATATGCCACTTTAGTGGCTTAAGTTAATGACATAATTATCCCCTTCACTTCGACTTTTTATCATTTTATTTAACATTGCAGTGCCTCCACGAGTCAATGTCTACGTCATCGTCAACAACTCTACAGCCATGACGGTCTCATGGGTGGCTCCTATTTCAGATGTTGACTACTACATAGTCTACTTAAATGAAACTAACAACGCATCAGTAGCATATGACTTAAATGTTTCCTCCAATGTTACAATGCAGCGCTTTATTGGTTTGGTTCCTGGTAGAAGTTACCAGACATCTGTAACAGCGTACAGTGGCATCAACTCCCAATCATCAGCCATCGTTACTAAAAGGAGCTGTGAGTATTTCCATGATTATACATTTATTGTTATTTGCGTTATAAAAATGTGTGCAGCCATGTTGAGAGAATTGTAATTTCGATTGTAGGTTTAAATTTCATAAGAATTTTGTCCAAATATTTACTTATTTAATCACTTGTTCACGAACAACATAGGATATATTTACTCAGTGTTTATACAGAAATGAATACCTCAATCATTGAATGATCCATTTGTTGAGGCTTCCAATGCGTCCTTCCAAACTTGGTCAGATATGGTTATGGACAGTTCTTCTAAGTAGCGATGTATTCAACTGTTCAAACTATATTAATATATTCTAGATTTGAAGCTTTCGTGACTGCAAGTATTCATATTCTTAGGTTTTTTCGGTAAAGTTACGTAGGTAAAACATTAAAATTAATAAAAGTAAAATAAAATAAAAATCACGACGTTTCGGAGGCAACACAAGCTTCCGTCTTCAGGTGGAACCGTCACAACCACGACAGCTGTATCAAGTAAATGAGAGATTAAAAGAGCTACCACTCCGTATATATAATGGTTGGAGAGGGGAAGGGCCAATTAAGGCACACTTTTTATTAATATGGTAAGGTGAGGCTTAAGACTAAGAATAGACTGTATAACAAAGGCTGAGCCTTTACATAACAAAGGCTGAGCCTTTGTTATGGAGAGGTACGGTTTGTGACTAAGCCTGGCCTACATGTTTAGTTGTTTTATTTTTTCACACTATTGTTATGTAGGCCAGGCTTAGTCACAAACCGTACCTCTCCATAACAAAGGCTCAGCCTTTGTTATGCAGTCTATTCTTAGTCTTAAGCCTCACCTTACCATATTAATAAAAAGTGTGCCTTGGCCCTTCCCCTCTCCAACCATTATATATACGGAGTGGTAGCTCTTGTAATCTCTCATTTACTTGATACAGCTGTCGTGGCTGTGACGGTTCCACCTGAAGACGGAAGCTTGTGTTGCCTCCGAAACGTCGTGATTTTTATTTTTATTTTATTTTACTTTTATTAATTTTAATGTTTTACCTACGTGACTTTACCGAAAAAACCCAAGAATATATTAATATAGACATTAATCTGTGTATGCTACTATATATAACTGCATTGTGTATCTTACATATTATATTACTTAATTTGGTATTGAAAGCGTTTCACCATGCAATGCTACCATTTTTCCTGTATTTAAAATAGACAAATGCACGATTCACACGTTGGTTACGTTCACGTGGGCTCTTGTTTTGTTGCAAATAAAACACGGATTTTTCTCATCAATATATATTTGGACAAAAAAAAGGGCATATAGAAACTATATGGTGATCGTTCGATCTAATGTGTTACATGCCAATTTTGTGGCTTAATTTGATGACATAACAATTTATTTTGGGTTAGATTGTGTAAAAATAATTGTCCCGTTAAACCCGCCACCACCCGACACAGCCAGTTAGTAAGGTTTGGCACGTAAACAGAAAATGCCAATTCGTTACTAGTGTAGTGGGTTCCACGGAGGCACAGACTTTAACTTGGAGGCAACACGTTTATTGTAACACCCCAACAGGGTACCTGCATAAACATACAGGATAACGATGTAGGTGGTGACAACCACGAAAAACGTAGACCACAACGGGGTAACTAGACTACAACGGGGTAACTACATAACTGGGTCAGTCAGTACAACACTGCCTGACCCACGAAGATGAGCGTGAAGAGAGAAGACTGAAGAGACATAGCACGGCAGGTTGATTCCAGAAGACAGCCCCCATCGACTCTTGGGACCTACCTTTTATGGGTCTAAGCATGGCCTGGCTCCGCCCACGGCCATGCCACCTTCTGGATCCTACCAGAAGGTTCTAGGCCATATATCACGTGTCCCGCTCGCCCCCCTCGGGCCCCCCTCGCTACCCTGTCTTGGTCACGTGCCCTCTCTGTTTCACCCAGACTGTCCTGTCCTGATGTGCCCTCTCTCTGCCCGTTACCAGAACTATGCCCCCTACTGTCTCCTTCCATGCCATATACACTCTAGTGCCAGAGAGAGGCTCTAACATGCACAGTTCCCCTCTTCTCAGTAGCTGGCGCTAAATGCCGTAGTGACTCAATATACATCACTACATCACCCACCCCCCCCTTCTTAATGCAATGCTGTCCTGGCTGATAACTATCCCAGATTGAACAAAATATGCCTCCACAAAAATGTTTTTTTACATTTAACAACAAAACCGACAAAACCTGTCAACCGAACAATATATTTAATTACGGAGAAAGGGGAAAAAAAACGCAATGTACAAGGACCGACCCAACCTCCAGGCAGAAAGTACAAACCCACCCCTGCATGTGTCACCAGCCACGAGCACAAGAAGGGCCAGGATCAGCTAATGACCCATCTGGCTCACGTGTGTGACAACCAACTGACTGTGCAGAAATAAATAGCGCACTGGAGAATAGTCATTTGAAATGGACGGTCCTTGAATAGATCCTCATCGCCGGACCCCCGGTGGGGTGAGTGTGGGTTCCCTGGGGGTTCCAGGGACAGGTAGAAGATGGCCTAATGGGCACGGCTCCTCCCGAGAAGAACACGGAAGTCCATCAAGAGGAGAAGTGTATGATGTCCACTCCACTCTCATCAATCCCCCTCCGATTGGAAAAACCAGCGGCTCCAACGGCGCTATGTGCTGGGATCCTGTCGGCGCAAAACCAAAAATCCCATGAGGCACAACCTCCGTGGACGCAGGCCCCAGCTCGCCGGATATACCAGACACATGGCCCTTAGGTAGTGGATATGAAGGGATCCCGCCGGGCGGAAAAAAAGGTTTCGGTCATGACGGATGCACAAACCACCGCCGGCAACCGAATTGAATCCGCACACATTGTGGCCGTTTCACCTCAGTCACTTCGACTGGGCCTGTCCATGGTTTGAACAATTTGGGTGAGATACCCACTGGAACCTGGGGGCAGTGTAACCAATCCTTGTCCCCCAGTTCCCATTTAGTCACCGAATCTTGTAGCCCCATTAGCCATTCATTTGATGACTGGCACAAGGCCGAATTCCCCCTGGAAGCCTCCCGTGCCTCCGACAATTTCTTAACGGTAAGGGGCATAATGCTAGGTATGTCAACCTTCGCCTTCTTAGGCTCCACATCCTGCAAGTTCCAGAACACCTGGAACTTGCAGGTCCCAATCGGACTGGGCTACATTTACCTGCTGACACAACATAGTATTCAGGGTCCTGTGTAATCGTTCCACCATTCTATCAGTTTGGAGGTGATAGGGCGAAGTTCGTACATTTTTGGTGCCCAACAAATCGCAAACTTCCTTCAATAATTTAGATGGTACATTTTTGCCTTGGTCAGTAAGGAGGCGCTCCCTTATCTAGGACATAAACATGAAGGAATTATTTAGTGATCGTTGCAGCCAATGGGTGTGGCAACGGCGAGGCCATTGGCCAGCACGAGAGGTACTCCACCCCACCAACACATATTTATTACCTTGCAGGAACGTGGGAAATGGCCCGAGAACGTCGAGAGCAACGAGTTCATTGACACGGGATTCCCGAATCGATTGCAAAGGTGGACGGCCCATCCTCGGAGGGGGTTTTCGGCAATTACATTCTGTGCACCTATTCAAAACATTGTAAACATCTCCTGCCATTCCGGCCAAGAGAAATCAAGTCAGAGAGTTGACAATGTTTTTTGTACTCCAAGGTGCATCAACCGTTCGTGTGCAGCCCATTTAACCTTGCCCCGCAGAATGGTGGGCACGACAATGTTATAGCAATGCACTTCACCATCCCATAGCATCAACAAACTACCCTAAAGGATGACAGGAGACAACTCCTGTCGGCTCTTCCCACACTCTACATTCCTAACGCTGCACCTCATTTTCAATAATGAGGCATCCTCCACTTGGAGTCGCCCCCATTCAGCATGGGTGAGACCGATCGTGTTATCACATGCGTCGGTAGTATCGGGAATTGTAACATCTACTGATGCCATGACAGTGGGAAATGGTCCTGTGGCAATGGGCTTACAACGCCCTGAACCCGTGAGACAAGCACACGGATCACTTGGTGACAGTCGCGACAGTGCATCAGCATTCACATGGCAAACACCTTTTCTTTATGTAACTTTAAATGAATAGTCCTGAAGGACTACCAGCCATCGGGAGAGCTGGTCCGGATGGCTGTTTGGCCCGCAACGCATACTATAGAGCTGCATGATCCGTTCGTACCTCAAACCTTCTGCCATAGAGGTACGGACGGTATTGTTGGGTGAAATAAACAATAGCCAACAGCTCTCGGCGCATCACACAGTAGTGCTGCTCAGCCGGGGAAAGCACTCTGCTCCCATACGCTACCACGCTTTCCACTCCATCTACAACCTGGGATACGTCAATTCTGGTGTTACTGGCATCAGTATCCAGGACGAAAGGCAAAGCCAAATCATGGTATCGAATGGGAGGTGCGTTGACCAGGCCATCGCGTAGTGCAACAAACGCAGCCTCCTCCTTCCCCCATCGACATTTATGGCCCTTGGCAGTGAGGACGTGGAGAGGTTTTGCGATCATGGTTAACACAAAACCGCAATAATAGGAAGCGAACCCGACAAAGCTACGCACCTCACCTGCCGACTTGGGAGTTAGCATGTGCGCACGCACGCAGTCTGATTCGGGTTCGTCGCATGCCCGACTCGCTGACAATGTGCCCCAAGTACCGAACAGACCTTTTTAAGAAAAATAGCATGCAACCAATGCAGATGTTCTTCAAGCGTATGCCTGAAAACGATCACGTCATCGAGGTAGATCAAACAAAGCGTCCCATTGGAGACTTGCCAACACCAGTTCCATGAGCCTCTGGAACGTGGCAGGAGATGAATGGAGTCCCATCGTGAGCCGGTAAAATTAAAATAACCCTTGGGGTATACGGAATGCAGTCTTAGGTTTTGAACTGTCGTCCAAAGGCAACTGCCAGAACCCAGATAACAAATCAAGAATGGAGAAAAACCTCGCCCCCGACAAAGCGTCCAAGGAGTTAAAACCTTAAAGTCCCATCCTGCTTTTTCACCAGAACAATGGTAGCCCCCCACGGACTGTTAGACAAATAAATTACGTCAGCGGCTAACTTCTCATCGACTGCCTGACACACGTGGTCCTTCATTTTGGGGCTCAGTCTATAGGTGTTTTGGTGAATGGGGGCGGCACTCCCTGTATCAATGTGGTGATGCAACAGAAACGTGCGGACTATCATATTTACCTATGCTGAAAACATCAGAAAATTATTCCAAAAGTGCAAGCAACTCGGCCCTCTGTGCATCAGACAACTCTGAGCTCTCGGAGCAGAGTGCATCCAGCCATGACTCGTCACACCTCTCTCCCTGCTCCAACTCGCACATCCCCGCCATTTTTAAATCCTTTATATTAAGTTCGCTTGCTTGCTTGCTTGCGTGCTTGCGTGCTTGCTTGCTTACGACCGTGCAAACATTTCGGTCGTTTTTAACCCACTTCCCGTGATCCAATCAAGCTGACATTTTGCACATAGACTCGTTGTGCGAGACAATTAATGTTCATGAATTTTTTTTTCAAAAATTTTACACTGTTTAGGGAAAACAAATTAAATATTTAATTACCAATTGTTTAATACTGCAGACAATCATCTGACCCATAGGTGGCAGCCATCTCAAGCCAGAGGACGAGAGGACTCTAGCCACCACGCATATAAAGGATTTAGAGTGACAAACTTTGTTTTTATGGGTTATACTTATTTCCCTTCGCAAGACGCGGCCGACGCATGAGCTAGAACAGTACCCGATTGTATAACGGACGTTTCCAGACCAGCGTTCAAAACTTGAATAAAAGGTTACTGATCACTCGCCACCAAGGTCTGAGCTTCCACTAATGTTAGTTCCCGACCAGTATTTTGTTCGAGGAAGCCTAGAGAATCCCTCCCGCAGTCGCTTCTCGGTCGAGCTGCTTCCGCAGTCACAAAGGCACGAGCATCTGTGCACCGGGGGGATTTTAACAGTTTCTTTCGCCAGTGTCTGGAGTGTGGCGTTAGCCATGCACAACCGAGTCGAGGAGGACAAAACGCCATTCGGTGGCCCGATGGTAACTCGATTCACCCCTGATCAACAAGGATCTTTAGGGGCATTTTCCCTAGGAAATCGGTTCCTAATAGATAGGGTACAGCTAGGAATTTCGAAACAAGCACTGGCCATGTCAATTGAATGTCACCAATGCACACTGTCGCCGATCGAATGGTGCACAATTTTGGTGGCAAAATATTCAAAACCCATTTCAGAGATAATAGTAGTGGATGCTCCGGTGTCAATGAGCACCCGCATCTCTACACCCTGTACAGTTCCCATGACACCTGATGATCCCGCCGCCGCAGCAACAATATGGTGGCCCAATTCCGACCATTGAACAGGACGCCATGGCCAGTCATCCCTCGCCAAAACTCGACTATCACGCTCTGCAACAAGGCGGGAAGCAACGACACGCGAATCAGGACACGAACATGATGGTCTGAGGTCACAGCAAAGGCCGTGTGTGTGGTGTGCTGCGACTCGCCTGAGCAACCATGTGGAGTAGAGGACAGCCTGGTGCATGATGACGGCACCTTGAACAGGCTCCCTTGTTCGGCAAGGCATCCCCTTGAGACGTGTCCCGGCAGGCCGCACCTGAAGCAGACAAAGGGGTCAGTCCTTGGGTGAGAGAAGGTCCTCTTTGGCAGGTTTCGACCTCCTTGTCGCCCTGCCTCGTCCTGTCTCCACCTGACGTCATCGAGCGAAGCGCAGTCTTGTCAAGGCTCCGCGCCTTCAGGTGCTCCTGTCACTTCAGAGGGTCCAGCACACGCAGCCATGCTTGCATGCCGCTTAAAATTAAAATGTGCCTGGAGGCACCGTAGAATTTTGAGCAACGACAAGTCGTCCTCTTCCGTGGCTGGCAGAATCAAGTTGAGCTCCTGGGCCAGCGACAACAGCGCTTGAGGACCAAGGAGTCGAGCCCCTCATGGTCCATCTTGGGGTACGTGGCCTGTGCCAACGACATGAGTGCGCTGCGGAAGGCGAGGGGCATCTCGGCCTCCCCCCACCTTCGTGCGGCAAACTTGTGTTGCATGTCAGATGACTTATTGAAAATCACCGACATCTGGGCGAGAGCTTGAGGCAGCATAACCATCCCACCAGGTCGCAGGTGGCGGTGAAGCACCGTCAGAATGCCGCCCAGTCACCACTCATAAGAAAGGGAAGCCTCTTTTTAAGAACAGGGACTTCTTGCCTCGATTTTGGCGGGATGTCCAATTTGGCGGGAACACCGTCGCTCCATCCGAAAAAATGGTTTCCCGCGAATGGGAAACAGCAACAACGAAGTCGTCTCCTGTTGGTCCCAACCCACATCACCCTTACACAACCGTCGCTCCAGCTCCATCACGGCGACCAACACTGCCACAGCGGTCAGTAAGTCCGCGAGACGAGTGTTGCGTGACTGGCGCACTCTCCCCGACGATGGCAGCGCGGCAAGATCACGTTCTTCTCACTGCTCCGCCAGTAGAGCCGCCTCGCATTTTTTCTCTGGGTCTGTTTGTGGAATCACCCCCTCATCGTCTACTTCGTATGATGATGCCTGGGTAAGCTGCTTTCTTCACTAAACATCGCACCACACTAAGGCTATCCCCTATCTATTATTTTTCACTTCTGACACCAGATGTAGTGGGTTCCACGTAGACAAACACTTGAACTTGGAAGCAACACGTTGATTCTAACACCCCAACAGGCTAACTGCATAAACGTACGGGATAACGAATAGGTGGTGACTACCATGAGAAACTTAGACCACAATGGGGTAACTAGACTACAATGGGGTAACTACAACCTGGGTCAGACAATAACACACTGGCTGACCCACAAAGCTGAGCGTAACGACCGAAGACCAAAGAGACGTAGAACGGGGGGTTGATTCCAGAAGATAGCCCCGATCGGCTCTTGGGTTACTCCCTTTTATGCGCCTAAGCATGGCCTGGTTCCGCCCACAGCCACGCCCCCTTATGGATCCTACTAGAAAGTTCTGGGCCACATATCACGTGTCCCGTTCGCCCCCCTCGGGCCCCCCTTTGGTCACGTGCACTCTCGGGTTCACCCAGACAGTCATGTCCTGAGGTGCCCTCTCTCTGCCCATTACCAGAACCATGCCCCCTAGCGTCACCTTACATGCCATTCACACTCTGGTGCCAGAGAGAGGCTCTAACACGCACAGCACCCCTCTTCTCTCAGTAGCTGGCGCTAAACTCCGTAGTGACTCAATATACGTCACTGCACTAGTTCAGCACACCTGGTGTGTTGGAAAGTAAATCCACAACATTTACAAAATTCGAGTAAGACGTTTCACCAGTAATTATAACTAGCATCATCAGGCGACAGCCAGAGTTGTGGAGAAATCCTTCTTAAATAGAGGGGAAAATATGATGTCGTCACTTGAGCCCTGTTAAGGGAAATTTAAATTTGAATTATGTATTCTTTTCACATGAAATTTGTAAAAAAAAGTAATTATTTAATTTCCCATTTACGAAGAACCTAGGACATTCACTAAATGTTCACACCGAAATTAATACCTCAATCGTACAATTATGCCTCTGTAACTGTTGCATTAATACTGTTATAAAAGGAGTTGAAGAATCACAAACCTATTAGTCTCTTATTGAAAACATATTCACCATTCATGAAGCTCATGTGGAACAAAACAAATCAATTGTAAAAACCTTGTTTTAAAACAGGTAATTTCACAGGAATTGCTCGTACATAATTTGAGGCATTGTGTCATATGAGTAAATCTAATGTATACATCGTATCCACTCTAGTTGCCGTTTCAATTACACTGAAAGTTAGTGACCATCACCGAAAAGACACACATTCATGATAGTCTCACGGGCGGCCCTTGGTTTGACATAGACTTCTAGACAACCCAATAATTAGAAACAGCAACTTTTAACAAGGTCAGATACAAACTATATACTTTCATATACCACGATACTTTGTGGTTGGAACCCATGGTGAACAAAATTTTGTATAAAAATACTTACATCTTGTATATCGTACATAATGCATAGTATGTACTCATGTAAATCAAGATAATTGCTAACACCATTTGTGAGTTAAGTCTGAATCAATCCTGCGCCACACACCTCCCCCATTCACCGTTTAACACTGACCATGGTAATTAAGTGTCAACAAATGTCCCTGCAAATATTGACATTTAAAGGACACTACAAGCTAAGCCAGCCTTTCATTTCATAGTACTCTATGGCAAGTTCTGTTTGCTTCAATTGACACTTTTAAATATCCGTTTTAAATGACATACTTTTCTCATCAACACAGTTGGACAAACAAGAGGGCATACTGTATATACAAAATATATGGTGATCGTTTTATCTAATGGGTTATATGCCACTTCAGTGGTTTAAGTTAATGACGTATTTATACCTTGCAATCAGTCTGTCCCAATCATGTTTATTTGACATTGCAGTTCCTCCACAAGTCACTGTCACCGTCATCGTCAACAGCCTTACAGCCATTACGGTCTCATGGGTGGCTCCTATTTCAGATGTGGACTACTACGTGGTATACTTAAGTGAAACCGACAACCCAACAGCAGTGATGAGCTTCATTTTGTACTCCGGTACAACACAAGCATTTACTGATCTGGTCCCTGGTAGAAGTTATGACGCGTCTGTAACCACGCACAGTGGTATCAACTCCCAATCGTCAACCATTGTCACGGGCATAACCTGTAAGTATATGCATTGTTAATATTCAGACCATTATTTCGGTGAGCACCACAAACGAAACACATTTTCATAAGCAAGACCAATCACCATAAATAGAATCCAGATGTTTTATTACAATGGCTTTGTAAACAACCACAATGTAATTTTTCTAAATGTATTGTTGTTTTTGATCTACGTTAAGAATAATTGAATACAAATTCGAAGATAAATAGTGATCAAATTATAATACATTGCATGAATCTACAAAGAATAGCATGCTCTATTGAAAAATATCTAATACATTTCGACCCCTTATTGCTAAACACACATTTATTTACCAAATCCGACTGTTTTTATGTCCGCAAACCTCCTATATACAGTATAACTAATAATAGTTAAATAAAATACCATCATGTGGCAATTGGTAAACAATTTTAAATATATTTTGGAGAAATACAACCCGAATTATACATAAGGGAACTTTTGAAGGCAGATCTAGATTATGATAAAATAATGAATGCACAAAAGATTAAAAGTGCTCAATGACTCGAATGAGTGCATTCTGGTATTACACCAAGAGATAGGACATGTCATTAGAAGGGATGACGGCCAGTGGTCGAGTGGCATCAATAGGAGGGAATGTGCCTAAGAGTGTATGCACCCAGGAGATGGAGCAATGATATCAGTTCGTTGCAGGCGCTAGATGGACTGTTACATTACAGAATCATCAGGGATGCTGATTTCCTGAGGAAGCCTTCATCCAAAAGTAGACTGATCATGGCTGATGTTGATGACAAAGCTTTATATGATTTAGTATTACACTGCATAGCACCATCGTTTCCAAGAATCAAAGTGGGAGCATACTTCCCTGTTCATGCAAAATACTTCCAAGCTTCCCCAAAAGTCACTATAGGTCCATAATTGCCAAGATTGGCATCTAAATCTTCATGATTGTGTCAAAACGATTACCAAGGTGGAACCTGGTCAAAGCTGACTGGGGTCAATATTAGGAGGCTGTATAGAGAGTGGAGAGTCGAATGCCCACAACACCAGAATGCTATCACCATTTTATTAGCCTCCTTACTGCAGCCGCCAAGAAAAGGCATTCGCGAGGCTTCCGGAAAGAATCTACTCCCTGCTGGACAAAAGAAACCCAGGACCTGCTCCAACAGTACACCCAGGTGGGCAGCCAGAGGTTGGATAGGCCTTGCTAGAGTCTTTAGACTCGGCCAGACGCCAGCGGTGGATTGAGTGCATTGAAAGCCTGCACTTCACTCACTCCAGCCGCAATGTCTGGGCGCTACGATGACACCTAGGTTCTGCTAATCCAACAAAATCCAGCCCAACGCTATCGCCTCACTTAGGTCTTATGTGACCTGGCATAAACTGTACACCAAAACAATGAAACTCTGATGAATCCCAAAAGCATGGTGGGAGGCAATTTTCATTGCAATACCCAAACTTGGCAAGCCAACTTATAACCTGGGAAGTTATTGGCCAACATCACTTAGGTGCACCACCTATAAACTGCTGGAACACATCATGCTCTAGAGAATCACCTCCCTTGTCGGGTCTGATCCCTGCAGAACAAGCGGAATTCCAGCTTGGATGCATCTGCTGTGATCCTATTTTAGCCCATGCGATCCACATTGAGGTCATATTCCAGAAGAAATCCAAGACCAGCGCAAACTATGAAAGTAACCTTTTGCAGCAACAATATGCGACATAACACCACTCTGACCTATCTCAATGAAGCTGGACCCTACGCTAATATTCTATGACCACCTGACAAACATAGCCACCAAGTTCAAAACAAGGCTCAACCTGGTCTTTAAACTTACAAGCACAAGCTGGGGAGTATCAGCACCAGTGCTACAGACATCAATGGTGGTCCTTGTGTACTCTGTATCCGAGTGTAATGCGGGCGTAAATGGGCGGGGCGGATATGACGATCCGAGAGGGAGGAGTCAGGGTGACGTGGGGGAGAAGTTATAGCGGGGAGACAGGAAGCTATCTGGGTCAGTCGGGGGAGTGAAGGGTGGTGAACACGTTGGGTGGTCGCCGTGCCTCAGCCTGGTGGCTGAGGGGCTCATGACGGCGCCAGCCAGCGGGGTGGAAGAGAGAGTGGAGGATTGAGGTAGGAAATGGCGAGATAGCCATAGAGGCCACGAAGGGCTGACATTGGGAGGTGGCGAGATCGCCACGCACGGAGGAACAGGGAGCAGAGATGGAGCTGCTGGGGGAGCAGCCAGAGGGCTGTACCAAGAGCCTGCAGCGGAGCTGCAGGAGCGTGGAAGGCTACGGGAGCGAAGGCAGATGTGGGGCTGCCAGGGAGAGAGTCTCAGGAGGAGTGCCGTGTGGGAAGGAGAACGCGAACCCCAAATAAAGGACACGGAGTCAGCAAGAAGTGTCTGAGTCCTTTTATTACACTGGAGTCAGAAGTGAAACGGCATCTTAAAACAACTGAGAGAAAGAAGAAAAAAAAATATTCCTGCTACATCATCCGACGACGACGACCTTCCTCAGACAGTGGACCTGCCTGCAATGGAAGAGGAGATCCGTTCTGGAACGAGTACGGGTCCGGGTGAGCAAGGTGTCGCCGCGTCGGTGGACCTGTCTGTGCCGAAGGATGCCAACTTACGATGGAGACAGATGGTGATGCAGATGGGGACCTTGAAAATCGTGCTGGCGCGACTGTGTGAGTTCACCACGCCGAGGACGACGTCGGGGAGGCCCGGTGGTGATCCGCAGGCCTCTGCCTTTCCTGCGCTGCCAGCGCCATTGCCACGTGGCACGAAGACGCCATCTTGGGCGTGGCAGGGGAGAAACGGCGGGAAGCCGCCATCTTGTCTTCACCGCGGCGGGAGGACGCCGCCATCTTCAATATCGCGGCGGAGAGGCAGCCTTGCGCTGCCATCTGGAGGTGCCGCGGGGTGAGAGCCTGCTGTGAGCTGCTGTTTTTCGAGGGGGTGCTGCGAGGAGAAGACGCCGATGCTGCAGCTGCTGGGGCGGGAGCTTCCCGTCCTGGCTCGGGTGCGTGACAACGGAGCCGTCAAGTCGCCGAACGAGTTCTGCGAGGCGTCTCAAGTTGCCACCCTGCCGTCCTCTTCTTGCTGCAGCCCCGGGCGAGTCATAACGATACGCACCCGGCCTTAACACACACCTCACTCATCTTTCGAGGGCCGGGGGGCTATTTTGGGTTTCTCTTATGACTCGATTGTGCGGAGCGCGGTTCGGACTGTGTGTATGTGTGTGTAATAACGATGAACGCGCTATCTGCTTGTTGCTTGGTGTCAATATAAGTGTGTGCGTGTGTTGAGAATGGACGGAGAGTCTGCTGTAGTTGCTGAGTGTCAAATTGTGTGTGTGGGCTGCTGCGTGGAGTTGTTATCTTGATGGTGAAGTTAATTATTAACTTGGGAGCGTCGGGTATCTTGCGCTGTATATTGTGGGTTACCTTGTGCGATGGGCTTAATTGGAAAAAAAAAATATTTTTTTTTGGTGTATTGTGCTGCGAGGTGCTGTGTGCGATGCGATTGTTGCAAGAGAGAGAATAATTGTGTTGTTGCTGCAAAGTTACGACAGGATTAATGGTGTGTTGGTTGCCTGCAGATCTGCTTGCTATTGTGTTTAAATGTACGCGTGTGATCGCAATATGCTGATTGTATGTGCTGTTATACTGTTCTGTATGGTTATGGGGTGCGATGCAGTGGTTGATTATTGGAATTGGGATTGTTATTATATTGTGCGTACCTGTTGGAAATTGGTAACAAATTCGAGGGGGACCCAAAAATTTGGTTGTATGGTTGTTGTGCACACGAGATTGCGTGTATATTATAGAGGGGGACCATAAAATTTGGTTGTATGGGTGTTGTGCACACGAGATTGCGTGTATATTATAGAGGGGGACCCAAAAATTTGGTTGTATGGGTGTTGTGCACACGAGATTGCGTGTATATTATAGGGGTAATTGAGCTTTTTGAGAATGAGGGTGCGCGATGACGCCGTTGTGGGTGGTTTAGATGTTAATGCTAATGGGATCGTAAATTGGCGCCAAGTGGCGTCGCGTATTCGGTTGATCGCATGCAGCCACGAGTTGCTTTGCGAGTTGGGTTGTGTAACCAATGTGGTTGGTAAAATATTGGTTAAAAATTCCACGATATGACAGCTGTGCGCAGCAAGCTGGGGCTGTGCGTCTATCGTTGGTGGGGTTGTTATAACGTGACGGGGGATGCGTCTTGTGACCCCCAGCTAAGGGAAGCTGGGGTGCACCAATGGAGAAAACTGGCCACGTGTTCGCACGTTGGGCCGCCATTTTGCGCGCACGCGGGGTATGGCGACGATGCGCTTTGCGGAAAGGGCCGCCATTTTGAGTGCGCGCGAGAGATTGCGCGAACGCGCTGGGCGAAGGGGGACGCCATTTTGAGCGCGCGGGAAAAACCGGGGTGGGGCAAATATTCCATCTGTTATGCCTGCCATTGTTGATTGGGTGATGCACGAGTTGTGGTCACATCGGGCTATGGCTGATGGCTGACCTGACAGCCCGGAGGCGAAACCTCCGTGGTATGTCTTAAACTAATGGGCCATGTGCTCATATGGCTCGGGGAGTCATGGTTCAGTTGTGCGGTGGCAGACTGAACCTGGTGTGCCGGGGGCTCACGGGATCTGGGTTAGGGTGTTATTGTCTCTATAAGAGAACATTGCCCCGTGGGGGGAGTACAGGGGGTCTGGCATTGCTGGGGGATGAACCTTCCCTGGGCTATAAAGCATCGGACTATACGAGGCTGGTGTGTGTCCATCTCTGATGGGATAGTAAGGGAGGAGCGTGGCCGAGTTGCTGCTCATCCCCGAAATTGCACTAGCTGAGAGTATGGTCAGTGGATGTTGCTGTGGGTTGACGACCACGGTGGGGGTTAGGGCGAGTTAAACATTACCGCTGGGGAGCGTGGCTCTCTCCACGCGAGGGTGTGCGATTAGGCGTTTTGTTGGGTTGCTGAGAGTGACCATGGGTACATGCTGTGTACGTGCGATGTCTGTGCTGGTCCTCAAGGGAGGACTGCTGGTGGGTAAGAGCAGAAAATTTTGTTGTTGTTGTTGACGTGTAAATAATATTGTTGTTAAAATGTAAATAATGGGGCATCCATTGCGTTATTTTGGGTATTTATGGGGAGTTTTTTTTAAGCGGGCTGGATTTACATCATCTCCACTACCCTGAGGCCGGGTGGCTGTCGTGTACGACATGCGGATGTGCGTTGTTGTGCTGTGCCTCAGGGGATTGGATTCTCCTTCTCGTCACAGATTCTTCAGCTCCCGTCGCACTGGGTGTTACCTGGTGTGCTAGCTGGATGAGGACTTGAAGGAGCAATTGAGCGCCGTTCGTCATTCTGCTCTACCACTTGCTCTTTGACGTTGGACTTGAGCCGAGCGGATGGAACTGCAACATGGACACGCACTAAAACATCACATTTCTGGATTGTGCGCGTTGGCCGTTCTTGCGTGTCAGTTGCCGTTTTGTTCATTGTGCCATTTTTATTCTTGTTGATGTTGCGCGGAGGACAGGCCGGTGTTCTGTTCCAGTTCCTGATACCTCCCCTTTCGTTGCTTGTGTTGTTGTTGTTATAATCTCCGTTGTGTCTGGGGGACTCCTGATTGTGATGCCTTCGCCCGCATTATTTTGTTCTGTTTCAGCCGAGGACGGCTGGGATTTTCTCTACGGGGGAGGGTAGTGTAATGCGGGCGTAAATGGGCGGGGCGGATATGACGATCCGAGAGGGAGGAGTCAGGGTGACGTGGGGGAGAAGTTATAGCGGGGAGACAGGAAGCTATCTGGGTCAGTCGGGGGAGTGAAGGGTGGTGAACACGTTGGGTGGTCGCCGTGCCTCAGCCTGGTGGCTGAGGGGCTCATGACGGCGCCAGCCAGCGGGGTGGAAGAGAGAGTGGAGGATTGAGGTAGGAAATGGCGAGATAGCCATAGAGGCCACGAAGGGCTGACATTGGGAGGTGGCGAGATCGCCACGCACGGAGGAACAGGGAGCAGAGATGGAGCTGCTGGGGGAGCAGCCAGAGGGCTGTACCAAGAGCCTGCAGCGGAGCTGCAGGAGCGTGGAAGGCTACGGGAGCGAAGGCAGATGTGGGGCTGCCAGGGAGAGAGTCTCAGGAGGAGTGCCGTGTGGGAAGGAGAACGCGAACCCCAAATAAAGGACACGGAGTCAGCAAGAAGTGTCTGAGTCCTTTTATTACACGAGTACTATGCATTAGTATGGACAAGAAGTTGACACACTAGACTTTTTGATGTCCAATTGAACACGATCATGCATTGTATCAAGTTGACCAAAACACCCTGGCTGTCCGTGATGCCACCTATCTCTTCCCCACCCACCCGCCGCTAAGCTGCAACCACCCGGGAAGTCCTGCGAATAGAAGATACAAAGTCGCCTTGCCATTCATCAGGACCTCACTAACGTTCCTTTTCATCCCTTAAAGTCACACAAGCCCTTTTGGATCAATATGCTATACCTTAAGCAATGCAAGTTCAATCCCGATAAATCCTGGAGCGTTGAATGTAGTTATTTTGAACTCACGAACACCTTGTGAAAACCCCATTGCAGATGATGTCTTGGTTTGATCTTCTACGAAGCTCATAGTCCACCCTAAGCTGCATCCGCACAAGCCATGACAATACCTCATCCACAAATGGAAAATGTAAAACTGTCCAGTGTGCGACTGTGGTCATCCAGAACAGACACAGTACAACATATAACGATGCAATGTCCGATTGAGAAATACAAAGACATCACGGCGATACAATCCGCTGCTCCTGACACAGTTATCTGGCTTGACCTCCTGAATGTGAAATTGTAGTTGTTGCTCTGCATATAAATTATCCATTCGAAAAAATTCCAATCTTCCGTTTGTATGTATGTTGAACTTCTTTCGCACCATATTAGCAAATTTTGCTATTCAGATTCGCGAGGGAAGGACAACGAACTAACATACATAACAGTTCCAAAGAAATAGGGTTTCAAACTAAATGTAAAAGTGCATAAGTACCAGTGGCTTCCTAATATTGGAAGAGTGTTCCAGACGTCTGCAGAAACGCATCTGAAAGCCCACCATCTACACATTAAATTAATGAAGCAACTCTTCTCAGTCATATGGGTAAACATATGTCAATGCATACACACCTCATCATGACTGGCAATAGATCATCGTGTAAAGCTATCTCTGGATATCGCCTAGTGAGCAAGATGCAGTGCATTTACCTCGAGTATTCAGCCACTTATTCTGACATAACAATAGGCACATGATGATGTATCGATTATTGCATTGCACTGCATGCATTGCATAGTGAGTTTGAGAAACGATTATTTGATATTAGTATACATGGTGTGTAATCATTCCACGTGATCTCTGAAATCAATAGAAGTTTATTCAGTACATTTACCATACACAATATAAAAAATACCCCATACATCATTGTACAGAATAATGACCCTGAATTGTAATTATTTATAATGTCGCATGGTAGGCGAATCGTTACACGTCATCATCAATTTGCGTGTGTTTTTTATTATTAGATATGCCAATTCGGCTGGCTGGGAATGCCATCGCATGTCAGGGCCGGGTGGAGGTGTTCTACAATGGCGAGTGGGGCACGGTGTGTGACGACTTCTGGAGCCCACAGAATGCCAAGGTCGTGTGTCGTCAGCTGGGTTGTGGGCTCACTGCATTTGCCGTGTCATATGCATACTTTGGATTGGGCAGTGGCCGTATCTGGCTCGACGATGTTCAATGCTCTGGTTACGAGACTCAGCTTTCCGACTGTAGGCATCTTCCCTGGGGGAATAACGACTGCAGCCACTATGAAGATGCCTCGGTCATCTGCTTGCAAGGTTACTTAAATGAATGTGTGTTGGTCAATATGTGTGTGTGCTCTGTTGTCTTGTTATTGCATACCCAATAAAATTACGTTGATTGCTATCAATAAATGTATTCTTTATCCACTTAAGATAAATTTCACATGTGTTTCATGCATTACTTCGAAAGTTTATCCTAAAACTGATTTTTGAAGGTTTTACATTGGATTCAACAAAATAATTCCATTTGATAATCGACTTCATTGCGCTTCTGAAAAAGATCTACAGTACATAGCTCAGTGGGTCTTACCTGGTAAAGTAATGAATGTAAATTTTATTTAAGTATTATTTGAAGATATAAAACTAACTTCAATAGGTAAAAAATATGTGCAGGACAGAATAAAATTATAACTTACACTCAAAAATGTGTCTAACAGCAACACTTAACTGGAATCTCAGCATCTTATGCATGTCCAGATGACATTTCCATTATTTTGTGAAACGTTCATTGTTAAAAAATACAATCTAAACATAAAAAAATCAGTCAATACAATATTATCACATTTAGAAGTTTATAGGTCAATAGTAAATCAATTCAACAATTAAATAATAGGAAATGGTAATTTAAAATTCACAAATGAAACAATTTAATGACACATTCATTTCAAAATTATTAAATTATGAAAGTGTGTTAAAAGGTGGTCACGACGTTCACAAATTTAGTAATGTTTTTAATTCGTCTGTCTATTAATGATCTGGAAAAAAAATCGCTAAATAAGTGAAATACTATCTTGATAAAATGTCACCCATGCCTGTTGCAGTTTTAACCATCATTAACAAGACTACCACGACCATGACAGTCTCAGGGACGAATGATCTTCCAGACTCGTTCTCCTTCTGGGCCTACTTGCGAGAGACTGCGAGTAGAAACTTGGTTACAACATTCCCGATTAACTCAACCACGACAACATTTACTGGCCTGGTTCCTGGAAGAAACTACTCCTTGTTTGTGGAGGCTTCCAATGCGACCGTTTCATACGAGTCAGATGTGGTCATGGAAAGAACTTGTAAGTACCAATGTGGTCAACTGTGCAGACTATATTAATATAGACAGAAATGTGTGTATGCTACTATATATCACTTATTATAAGCCCATTTTGTATCTTACACATTGTAAGTCTTAATTTGGTATTGAAAACATTTCACCACCATGTAATGCTTCTGTAGTGGGTTCGAATTAGGTGCACACACACGCAGCTTGGAGGCAACACTATTTATTAAATGGTAAGTAATATAACACTGTACATGAGGTGGTGACCACCTTCCTCAACTCACTAACACTCTGGAACACAACACAGACTGGACCAGGCAGGCAACGGCCTGCCTGGCCCAGGACGACGACTCGGGACTTGACGACCGATGATGTCTTCACTTTGGAGTACAGTACAACAGCCTTGCTCTGCGTTCACACCACGCTTATATTTGCTTTGGCGTGGCCGGCTCCGCCCAGGCGTGGCTGGCTCTCTCCAGGCCACGCCTCCCTTCCCAGGACACGCCTCACTTCCCCCACCTCTGGGAAGGTCCGGATCCCTCCAGCACGTGACCCCCCAGGCACCCCCTTGGGGCCCCCAGCCTCGTACGGGCCGACACAGTAGTGACCGTTCTATGTCACTACATCACCCCCCCCTGTATAAACACACAGCCGTCCCCGGCTGTAACACAACTGTGAAACATCGAAAAGGTTTGCCTCCGAACCAGCAACATCAATAAATGACCGGCGACCGATAAGAAATACAATCACGTAATATATACAGAATCGACGAGGGTAAAAGGAAGGGAACCGCATAGAAAACGGGGAATTAACAACAAATATACATGAAAACTGGCTAACCGACTTACGCTCCAGCACAGCCCCCCCCCCCCCCCCCCCGTGAGAATCACACATGCACCGACATGTGAGTGTGGCCATTGAAACGACGGCGTAGGCAATGAGCAAGGAGTCTGAGAGGCATGTAGAGCAGCCAGTCTTCAACGAGTCCATGTGGCCGGGCCTGGGGAACCAGAAACGGCCCAAAGGGCATGGCCTCTCCCCCCAGGAGTCAAGAACAGGAGGAGCAGGAGTAGCTGACGCATGCTCCACTCCCCCCCCCAGTCCATAGCCGGTCGGCATAACCGGCGACTCCAAGGTGCCAGGTAGATACTGCCTCCTGTGACGAGAACCAAACCCTCCTGAGGCATCACTCAACGAACACTCGCCTCCGCTCTTCGGACATGACAGTCACCCGTTAGCACCCCCCCGCCTTTCCGACGTGGCGTCACAACCAGTAGCACGCGTCGGCCATATCGGGGGGGGGGGGGGAATTTCCATGTTACCACCCCACCGCCTTTCCAACGCGGCGTCACAACCAGTAGCACGCGTCGGCCATATCGGGGGGGGAATTTCCATGTTACCACCCCACCGCCTTTCCGACGCGGTGTCACAACCAGTAGCACGCGTCGGCCATATCGGGGGGATTTTAACCCAGTCTCTCTCCAAGACTCGCATCGCAGCATATAGCTGTACCGACCGAGCTGAGACCCAGTCTCTCTCCAAGACTCGCATCGCAGCATATAGCTGTACCGACCGAGCTGAGACGACCC